ATAGTTTTCATATGGGGATTGGGGTTAAGTTACCCTGATATCATCCTAGAGTTCAATAAATGCTTGTTGAATAAGTAAATGTGTAAAGGAATAAAAGAGCGTGTAATGAAGATAACTCGGAACTAAACATAAGAAAATCTAGCTTTATGGATTTGTGCAAGGCCCTTGTTCTGTGGAATCTTGGTCAGCAAAGAGAGGACCTTGATACTCGTAGTGCCTACCCAGTCAGGGTGTTGTAAAGATCAAATGAGATCATTTATGTGAAAATGCTTTTTAAACTGTACAGGATACAAAATATGACCATTGTTCAGTTCTCCTGACAGTTCTATAACATTTCTTATCCTGGTCACCGAAGTGTAGAATGTGCTCATTCTCTGTCGCTTACAGAAAAATCAACCCCCCCCCCCCAAATGACACCAGGGAGCCCATTTCCACTTTTCCTCCTGGAGTCATATTATTCTTCTGCAAACTCTTTTACATTTCATCTTCTGGCCTATTAAACTTTTGTCAATCTACTGTACTCTCTATCACATAAAATATTATGGAAGCAAAAAAAAATTATGCATAAAATATTTGAATTGCTCAAAAAAAAGGCTGCATGCAGCTTGATGACTACATTTCACATTAGATAGTAAAGTCTTTTGTCTTCTGGCTAAATATATGATACTTTATTTTGTTTAAATTATACACATGTAAAATTACATTATATTTACAATGTGCCAGGCATCGAGCTAAGCACTCTGCATGTATTATTACATTTAATTATTCTAGAAGTCCCATAAGGCACTATTATTATACCTATTTTACGGATGAGAAAACTATGACTTAGAGATATTGACTATGTCTAAGTTCACATGATTAGTAAGTAGCAAAATCAGGACTTAAACTAACAAATCCAAATGACTCCAAAGACCCAGCTTCTATCTTCTGTTCCATTGTCCTGAGCTGTCAGAATTAAACGTCATCTTTAACCTTAAAGGAAGTGAAGCCCAGTTGAGCCATTTCTTTCTCCTCATCCTTCCAATATCCAGATTTTAAAGCTGTATTTTTCCCCCTCTTTGAGACACTCACTCGTTCCCCTCACACAGATACTTTGGCATCGGATTATTCTTGCTATGTGTTAGATGTTTTGTTTCTTTTTCCAATCTTTTATTTCTGTGTATGTATATGGAATGCGGGGGCAGGCGTTGAGAGGTGGAAGCACTAAAAATGGGAAAGCTAGGGAGAGATTAGACTCTCTTTTTCTGGAAACTTAGAAAACTAAGCTCAAGAAATTATTTAATATGTACAAGATATTTGCTGCAGCATTATTCGCAACTGTAAAAAATTAGAAACAACTTAAATATTCATAATAGGGTAACTGTTAAATAACTGGTACATCTATAGAATAGAATACTACTTAGCTTTTGAAAGAGTAGTAATGGTATATAATTCTGGAAAGTAGAATTAGTGAGGAGTTGTTTTTATATCTTCTTTACGGGTTAGCTATTTTGGAATAGGTATTGTTATTTTAAAGAACCATTCTTTTTTATATATTTGAATATATGCCAATAAGAAAATCATATTTAAAAAGTTTGTATATGTATATGTGTGTACGTATATATTTGTGTAAACACACACACACATATAAATGGATATATACTGAAGATGTGAGCTTAAAGAGTATTTTAATTTACCTCATTTTCTACTACATCTGTAATTAGTGTTTGTATGGTTTTTGCTTGTGTAATTTTTTAAATTAAAAAAAAACAAAACAACTGATAAGCCTGGTTTGGTTTGGTTTACTTTTTGCCCTAAAACAGGGGAAGCACTTGCATTTATTCTTCTTTTACTTTCTATTAAGGAGGATCATATAAACAGAATAAAAATATAGTCATTGAAACATGCAAACAATCAAAATGTAAGGATCCACTCTCCTCTATGATAGAACATATTATGTAATTCCTCATGAGTGTTAGCTGACCTTGAACAAAATGCTTCTTCATAATATTGGTGAATATGCCACATTATACATTTTGTTAGCATTTTTTAAAGACCTGTGTATTATATGAAACATAGTATAGTGGATAAGATTCATGTATTCAAATCCCATCTTGGCACTCAAAACTGAAAATTTAAGTCATTTAACTGCTCTGTCACTCAGTTTCTCATCAATAAAATGGTGATAATAATAGTACTCATTTCATAGTGTTATGGAAGGACTGTTAAATGACTTCGTGCATTTAACGCATTTAGATAAGTGCATGAGGAAAGAGGACCTAGAGATTGAAAGAGACCTAAAACACACCTGAACCAAATGCAATATATATGGATCAAGAGACATATCTATCAAACACAATATGTGGACATTTGGGAGAATCCTGATTTGGAAAAAAAAAAACCAGCTAGAACAAATATTATAAAACAATTGGTGAAATTTCAATCCTAACTTTAGTGATATCAAAAAATTATTGTTATATTTTAGATGTGCTAATGAAATTGTTATTATTTAAGAATCTTTATCTTTTAAAGTTGCATATGGAAATAGTCATGAAATGTTTGAAATTTGCTTCAAAATAAATGATAGAGTAGAAAGTCATAGGTTAAAAGATTGGCCAAGTGTTGCTTATTACAACTTAAAAAAATACTGTTTTCTCTACTTTGTGTCTGAAGTTTTACAAAATACATAGTTTTTAAAAATACTGTTTAAAAAGTGTCGGAACATAGGATGATAGAAATGTTTACTATTATATGATTTGTATTTATAATATTACTTAATGTTTATTTACACCTTTCAGATTACAACGTTTTCATTTACACTATGTCTTTTGGTATTCACACTAAACCTAGGCGGTAGGTATTACTAACCCCATTTTACAAATGAGAAGACTGAGCCAGAGCCAAGACTCCAAGTCCACAAAATATACCACCTCCTCTCTTCCAGCTAAGGGGGACTCTGGTAAAAGGATAGGAGATACCTGCAGCCACTCAGCACAAGGTCCTTTAATGACTGTAGTCAGATCTAGTGGGGAGAGAATAAACGTAACACACAAAACGATTCATTTAGATATATTTATCAGACAAAATTTGAGCTCACATTTACACATCATAAAAAATTTAGCTAGCTACTTTTAAAAGGCAATTTCAGGAGAAAAGAACACAGCAGAAGAGATTAAATCACAAAGAAAAACTTCTCCCCATGATTTGTATTTCATTTACAGAACTGTTCGTTATTTTATCAATTTATCTTTATACCCTCTACCTAACCTGTTTACTCTTCTAAAAATAACGCTAGAACTAAGGCTAGTCTGTGTGGGAAGAGAGAGAGAGAGGCAGAAGGACGTCACACCCTAGTTGTTTTGAGGCCCAGCCACCGAACAGTTTTGTTCCACCTTAAGAAGCTTTAGCCGCTCCCCTCATCGAGCAGGCACTCAGCTCCTCCCACTCCCGTGTCAGCTCCGACCCGGGAACGTGGGGAAGGGAGGAGAGACGCACTGAATGGAAAGACTGGCGCCAGCGGCTGCAGGGTCTCTCCTTCCCGCTACTCTACTGGCACCCGGAGGAGTGTGTAAAGCACCAGGCTTTAGGGTTTGATTCTTTTCCGGAGGATTCAGGATGGGGATGTGTTCTACTGAATCCGGGGGGGAGAAGGATGTGAAGGGTGAGGTCGAAGGGGGACAGAACTGGGGCATTTGAGATATACAGCATGCCGTGATCGGTACTCTAAAATTCTGAGTTCACGAGATCCGGACGCGCCACTTCAAACCATTTCCAAAAGAGGGACAAGTTTTCCATTCTCCGCCCCAATCCCCCGTCTTCATTTTAATTGCTTGGGTTTAAGGTAGGCTGGGCCCAAGGTTGCCTGTTCATTGGCCACCTAAGTAATCTATCAGAATGACGCAAGCAAGGGGGGGTGGCTAGTTTGAGAGGAAGTGAAGATTATTTTGGTACCTCCTACCCCAACTCCTGATTGGTTGAACTTTGCAGTGATGTAAAACAAGGCATAAAAATGTCCACTACAGAGAAGGGCTTATTGGCCATTCTCGCAGAGACGTTTTCTAGGGTGGGACTTTGGAAGAGCCCGCCGGACTCTGTAATTGTAGTGAAAGACCAAATTGATTGAAACCCGGAAATGAGTTTAGAAAGGAACTGAAGGAGAAAGAGGAAAATCGGCAGCACCTCGTTGCCCTCAAACAAGGTCATTTCCTGCATGGGTTTGATAGTTTCCTGTTTACCCCATGAAGTCTGCATGTACCCTGGCTTTCTGGAATACACATGAAAATTAAATTCTTAAGAGCCTTTGGTCTCCCGTTTACTTACGTTGCCTAAAAGAATGAATGAGATAGAGGAAAGAAAAAGGGAAAAAACCTGCCTTTAGGGAAGGTTAGGGAAACTGAGGCTCTCAAATGGAAAACTAAGGATGACCCTGGATCACAGTATCCAAGCAGGTGGGTGCCTAAAGAAACCTCATAAAAAATAATCGGAGAAGGTAGGTGGAGGTGAAGGAACAGTAAAGATTTGACTGAAGAAAGGGCATTAATCACATACAAAAACCTTGGGTAGAAAGTGTATTTTAGTCATCGTCGTATATCTGGTGCCTGG